ATTTTCCAGTCGAAGATATCATATTTTAGAGGTTTATTGGTATTGCAAATCTAAAAGACCTTTTTATATCAAAGACCTCCAAAAGAACAAAAAATTCTTGGGGTTAGCCAAATTTGTATGGCTTTTGACCTACCATTTCGCCAGATTTAATTCTGGTCATTTACAGTAATTTCTCCCATCACTTTCGCAAATTCCAAATACTCAGTAATGGCCCAAAAATAAAATCTTTCTTTTTTGGAATAAAAAAATTCTGGGGAGTGTCTAAAAGTATGCTTTAAAAATCCTACAGATAATTGTGGAAAATGTCGCTTGACATATGACTCTAATATCAGGTCTAATCTAACCTTTAGGAGATACACAAATAAATAATTTGATATATCAGTGGTCATATTGATCCGAACATTTCCTTACTAAGTCTTATACGTGTGTGTGTTGTGGTGTTATTTTATTGTTTTTAGTTCTAAATTAAAAAAAAAATATTTTCATAATCGAAAGAGAAACAATAAATAACGGAAATATAGCACCCACTCATACACAAATAAATTTCTCAACATTTTTTAACACATAAACAAAGAACGACTCAAAATGGATTCAGGCTAGAAATTTTGCATCAATTCATTCTCAGCAACAGAACAGAAGCATCCTCTGGAAAGACAAACAAGGTATGCCAGCCACAAAAGCATCCAAAACCAAATGCTTTACACTCCAAAAGGCATCCTCAACGCCAAAAAAAAGAAAAAAACAAAACAAGGATAATAGTGAAGAATACTAAAAAAATGCCTTACACACACAGTAACAATATTTTCCAGTTAGTTGGGCATTTTAAGTCAACCAACTAAACGTCTATCCATCTTTTGGGGTCCTCTCTTTTTTGTAATAACCATTTGTTGTTGTCATTGTTGTTGTTGCTGTTGGAGCACATACATCTGCTAATGAAATACCTTGAATGTTGTATGCCCTCCATCCAGATGAATGCCAGTTAGTGAATGTGTTTTTGAATACTTCTTGCCTTATCCTTGTTTTTCAAAAAAATAATGCTTAGAGGAGAGTTGTGGGGATAATAGGGGTGGCAGGATTTTAATAGAAATGTATAGATAGGGAGGTTGGAGTTCAGAAATGAGGGATGGATAATGGTTATATAAAGAGTGGATAAACGGGATAATGATAATTCCAGGTGTGGATAAACTGGATAACAAATATACAAGGCGTGAATAAGCTGGATAACAATTATCTAGGGCGCGGATAAGCTGGATTGTGATTATATAAGGCGTGGATAAACTGGATAATAAATATACAAGGCGGGGATAAGCTAGGCTAATGATTACACAAGGTGCAGACAAGCAGGATAATGATAACACAAGGTGCGGATAAAATGGATAGTGGTTATCTAAAGTAGGGATCAAATGGATAATGATTTTACATAGCGTGGACAGTCTGGATAATGACTATACAAAGCGTGGATAAGCTGGATAATGATTATATAAGATGCTGGATAATTATTATACAGGACGTGGATAGACTATAAAATGTTTATACAAGGCGTGGATAAGTTGGATAACGATTATACAAGGGTTGGATAAGTTGGATGATGAATATACAAGGTGTGGATAAGCAGTATAATAATTATTAAAGGCGTAGATAAGCTGGATAACGATTATATAAGGCGTGGATAAACTGGATAACAAATATACAAGGCTTAGATAAGCTGGATAATGTTTATACAAGGTTTGGATAATCTGGATAATGATTACTTAATGAAATACATGTCGTGGATAAACTGGATAATGATTGTAGAAGTAGTGGATGAGATAGATAGTTTCAATACAATTTGTGGATAAACTGCTGGATAAGGTGGATAATAATTAAAAAAGTTGTAGACAAGCTGGATAATTATAAAACAAGACAAGGCGTGGATAAACTGAACAATCATTATACAAGCCGTGGATAAGCAGGATAGTGAATATACCAGACGTGGATAAGTTGGATAATGATTATTTAGGGCATCGATACTCTGGATAATGATTATTTCAGGCGTGGATAACTTGGACAATGATTATTAAAGCCATGGATAAGTTGGATAATGATTATATATGGCATGGATAATCTGGATAATGATTATACAAGATGAGGATAAGCTGGTTAATGATTGTAGTGGAGTGTAGGAGTGGACAGAAAATATAATGATAATACAAGGGATGGATAAGGCTATACAAGGCACGGATAATCTGGATAATGGTAATAGAAGGCGTGGATAAGCTGGATAATGGCTATACATGGCATGGATAAGCTGGATAATAATTATTAAAGGAGTAGATAAGTTGGATAATGATTTACAAAGCGTGGATAAACTGGATAATGGCTATACAAGGCATGGATAAGCTGGATAATAATTATTAAAGGAGTGGATAGGCTGGATAATGATTATGTAAGCCGTGGATAAAAGTTTAGGCAAGCAAGGATACATCGGATAATTCACTTTAATGCTTGGATAAGGTGAATAAGAAAACTAAATGTCATGGATAAGCCGGAATATGCATAGGAAAAGCCAATTCATCTTTGGATAATCTGGATGATATATTTCAAAGGTGTGGATAATAAATCCGATTATACATTTCAAGGAAAAGGAAACATCAGATAATGTATTTTATATGTTTCGATAATCTGGATAATTTTTATGGGCGTGGATAATATGGATAATGCATTTCACAGGCATCGATGGCCTGGGTAATAAATTCAAGCGCGTGGATAATCTGGATAACGTATTTCTAAGACGTGGATAACTCACGCAATTTATTTCAAAGGTGTGGATAATTCAGAATATATATTTCAAAGGTCCGAATAACCCGCTTTACATATTTCAAAGGCGTGGATAAACCGAAAAATGTATTTGAAAAGCGCAGATAACCCATACAGAACCCATAAACCGAATTATATATTTTCAAGGCGTGGATAACCTGGATAATTAATTTCAAAGGCGTGTATAACCTAGGTAATGTATTTTAAAGGTGTGGATAACCCGGATAATGCATTTCAAAGACGTGGATAACCTAGATAATGTATATGCAAGGTGTGGATGACCTGAATATAACCTGAATAAGCTGGACAATGTATTTCAAAGGCGAGGATAACCTGGATAATGTCTTTCAATGACGTGGATAACCTGGACAATGTGTTTCCAAGGCGTGGATAACTCGGATAATATATTTGCAAGGCGTGGATAACCCAGATAATATATTTGCAAAGCGTGGATAAACCGGATAATATATTCGCAAAGCGTGGATAGCCCGGATAATACATTTGCAAGGCGTGGATAACCCGTATAACATATTTGCAAGGCGTGGATAACCTGGATTACGTATTTCAAAGGCGTGGATTACCTGGATAATGTATTTCAAAGGCGTGGATAACCCGGATAATGCTTTTCAAAGTCGTGGATAACCTGGATAATTAATTTCAAAGCCGTGGATAATCTGGATAATACATTTCAAAGTCATGGATAATCTAGATAACGTATTTAAAAGACGTGGATAACCCGGATAATACATTTGAAAGGCGTGGATAAACCGGATAATATATTTGCAAGGCGTGGATAAACCGGATAATATATTTGCAAGGCGTGGATAACCTGGATTACGTATTTCAAAGGCGTGGATTACCTGGATAATGTATTTCAAAGGCGTGGATAATATGTTTGCATGGCGTGGATAACCTGGATAATGTATTTCAAAGGCGCGGATAACCTAGATATTATATTTTTAAGGCGTGAATAACCCGGATAATGTATTTCAAAGGCGTGGATAACCCGGATAATTATTTTCAAGGCGTGAATAACCCTGATAATATATTTTCAAGGCGTGGATAACTTGGATAATATATTTTCAAGGCATGGATAACCCGGATAATTTATTTTCAAGGCGTAGATAACCCAGATATTTTTTTTTCAAGGCGTGGATAACCCGGACAATTTATTTGCAAGGTGTGGATAACACGGATAATATATTTGCAAGGCGTGGAAAAACCGTATAATTTATTTTCAAGGCATGGATAACCCGGATAATTTTTTTGCAAGCTGTGGATAACCCGGATAATTTATTTTCAAGTCGTGGATAACCCGGATAATTTATTTTCAAGGCGTGGATAACCCGGATAATTTATTTTCAAGACGTGGATAACCCGGATATTAAATTTTCAAGGCGTCGATAACCCGGATAATTTATTTTCAGGTTGTGGATAAACCGAATAATACATTTGCAAGGTGTGGATAAACCGGAAAATTTATTTGCCAGGCGTGGATAACCCGGATAATTTATTTTCAACTCGTGGATGACGCGGATATAATCTGAATAAGTTGAATACTATATTCTCATGGATAGAATATAATTGACATTTTCTCGTATTCCACCCTAATACCCACCTATACCTTACTTTAACGAACCATTCACTCTTACCACTACATTCCCATTTTTTGGGGGTTTTTCCCCAAATATCCTTGTGTAGTCATGCATAGCCCTGTTATTCTTGCCTGGATACATTGCAACACAATGTGTCTCTCAGTAAATTTAGCAATGTTACTTTTAGTCCTTGTTCATTTCCATTTCAAATGGTTGCCTCGTTTTCAGTTTTGTTTTGCAAGCATTTGTGGTGAAGAATGGAAATCATAGGCCAGTCAAATGGGTGGAGAAATGAAAAAAGAACCCCGAAAACTCAAGAGACTGAAATAAATGGTGGCGAAAATGAAAAATAGTGGCAAGAAAATTAACACACACACAGGAATACACACATATACACATATGTCTTCGGCCAGCCATTAGGCATTTGTGGAAACAATTTGCCTTGGCGTTTTCGCAAAATGCCAGGAATGGTATGGCTTGTTTTTTGTGTTTTTCTTTTGCATTCCTTTCTTTTCGAATTCGTAGAATGATACCTCACGTTCCGTTATAATTGATTAACTTTCATGTTATTGTTTTAACACATTTTTTTGGTATTTATTTTCATTGCAGAACTCCGCCGAACCGGTGTATTCCCCCACCATGGCTGGTGGCCTGTTTTCCATAGACCGGAAATTCTTTGAATTGCTGGGTACCTATGATCCAGATTTTGATATTTGGGGTGGTGAAAATCTGGAGCTGTCCTTCAAGACATGGATGTGTGGTGGCACTTTGGAAATTGTGCCCTGTTCACATGTGGGCCACATCTTCCGCAAGAGGTCGCCCTATAAGGTAAGTGTGGAGAAGGGAGAATTATTTTGATTTGGTTTTTAGGAAAATTAGCAACTTTCTTCAGTTATCCTTTTTTTAATTTTTTTCTTTTAAAATTACGCCTAGCGGACTTACTAGTTCCCTTTGAAAATTTTTTGTCCCCTACAAAACCCATTCCCATTCAGTAACCTCTCCCCAGCATTGGTATCATGATAATTGGTTACTAGCTCAACATTATTTTCCTTTGATTCCTCTTGTGGCATATGGGAAGTGGTTTACTTCCACACTGGGATCTCAACTAGTCTAACGCATTTGAAAAAAAAAAAACGCCAACAAACTCAGCTCCACTACGCACTTACAACAAAAATTTTCGAAAATTTAAACTTCACCCCCATAGCTTGGCATGTGAACTCGTATTTTGTCATGTCCAACTCTCACTCAGTCACCCAGGAGACCAGAGAAAATTACCAGCACCGCAATGTAAACAATGTATGCCAGGCAGAAAAAAAACCCAATTCCAAACCCAAACGCCGCAACTGCTCGGCTCGGCGAGGCTGTGTGCTGGGCTGGACACTTTGAAAAGCAATGAAACGTAACAAAATGTTGTTGTATTATAGAAGGCAAACATGCTGGCCAGACCGCCAGTAATGCTGGAGAAATGGGTTGTAGGGAAAAAAGAAGTACTGATTAAAAAATCCTAGCTGTCATGACCACCAGGCGACCAATCTCAGCAGGAGAGACGAGGATGAGGAAACTGGGGTGTGGTGGATATTATTTCTCTTATTTCTTGCCCTTGCAAGCAGGATGAGAAAATTAATGAGAACAAAATTCAAAATTAAAAGAATAAATTCGAAATTTTTAAATTTTTTATCCAAAATCTATATGATGTGGATAAGCTAGATAATGAACATCCAAGGCATGGCTAAGCCTGATAAAATATAACCAAGGCGTGGATAAACTAGATAATGTTTATCCACGGCATGGAAAAGCTAGATAATAAATATCCCAGGTGTAGATAAGCTAGATATTGAATATGCATTATCCGAGACGAGGATAAAATAATCTGGATAATATATTATAAAGACCTGGATAATCTGGATAATGCATTTTTGTTTGGATAATATATTTCAAATCTGGTTAATGTATTTTAAACGCCTGGATAACCTAAATTATCTGAATAATGTATTTCAAACACATGGATAACCTGGATAATGTTTTTCAAAGGCGCGGATAATCTGGATAAAGCAATTCAAGGGTGTGGATAATCTGGATAATGCATTTTAAGGGCGTGGATAACCTGGATAATCCATTTCAAGGGTGTTGATAACCTGGGTAATGCATTTCAAAGTTATGGATAACCTAGATAATGTATTTCCAAAGCCGTGGATAATGCTTTTACATGGCGTGGATAACCTGGATAATACATTTCATAGGCGTGGATAATGTGGATAACGCATTTCCCAGGCGTGAATAACCAGAATATTGCATTTCAAAGTCGTGGATAACCTGGATAATTAATTTCAAAGCCGTGGATAATCTGGAAAATGCATTTCAAGGGAGCGAATAATCTGGATAATTAATTTCAAAACCGTGGATAATCTGGATAATACATTTATGGGGCGTGGATAACCTGGATAATGCATTTCAAAGGCGTGGATAACCAGGATAATGCATTTCAAAGTTGTGGATAACCTGGATAATTCATTTCAAAGACGTGGATAATCTGGATAATGCATTTCAAGGGTGTGAATAATCTGGATAATGCATTTTTGAGGCGTGAATAACCTGGATAAAGCATTTCATAGGCGTGGATAATGTGGATAACGCATTTCCCAGGCGTGGATAACCAGGATAATGCATTTCAAAGCCGTGGATAATCTGGATAATGCATTTCAAGGGTGTGCATAATCTGGATAATGCATTTTAGGAGCGTGGATAACCTTTATAATGCATTTCCAAAGGCGTGGATAACCTGGATAATGCATTTCAAAGGCTTGGATAACCTGGATAATGTATTTCCAAAAGTATGAATAATCTGGACGTATTAAAAAGGCGTGGATGACGCATTTCCTATGGTTGGATAATATGGATAACGTATTTAAAAGGCGTGGATAACCTGGATAATGCATTTCAAAGGCGTGGATAGCCTGAATAATGTATTTTAGAAGGTGTGGATAATCTGGATAACGCATTTCCTATGCTAGGATAATATGGATAACGTATTTAAAAGACGTGGATAACCTGGATAATGCATTTCAAAGGCTTGGATAACCTGGATAATGTATTTTCAAAGGTGTGGATAATGTGGATAACGCATTTCCTATGCTTGGATAATATGGATAACGCATTTCAAAGGCGTGGATAACCTGGATAATGTATTTTCAAAGGTGTGGATAATCTGGATAACGCATTTCCTGGCGTGGATAATCTGGATAACGTATTTCCTGTGCTTGGATAATATGGATAACGTATTTAAAAGACGTGGATAACCTGGATAATGCATTTCAAAGGCTTGGATAACCTGGATAATGTATTTTCAAAGGTGTGGATAATGTGGATAACGCATTTCCTATGCTTGGATAATACGGATAACGCATTTCAAAGGCGTGGATAACCTGGATAATGTATTTTCAAAGGTGTGGATAATCTGGATAACGCATTTCCTGGCGTGGATAACCTGGATAATGTATTTTCAAAGGTGTGGATAATCTGGATAACGCATTTCCTGGCGTGGATAATCTGGATAACGTATTTCCTGTGCTTGGATAATATGGATAACGTATTTAAAAGGCGTGGATAATCCGGATAATGCATTTCAAGGCGTGGATAATCTGGATAACGTATTTCCTATTCTTAGATAATATGGATAACGTATTTAAAAGGCGTGGATAATCCGGATAATGCATTTCAAGGCGTGGATAACCTGAATAACGTATTTCAAAGTCTTGGATAATCTGGATAATGCGGATAATCTGGATAACACATTTCCTAGGCGTGGATAATATGGATAAGGTATTTTAAATGCGTGGATAACCTGGATAAGGTATTTTAAATGCGTGGATAACCTGGATAACCTATTTCCTAAGCGTGAATAATGTGGATAATATTTTTGATAGGCGTGAATAACCTGGATAATAATTTTGATAGGCGTAGATAATACGGATAATGCATTTCTTAGGCGTGGATAACCTTGATCATGATTTTGATAGGCGTGGATAATATGGATAATGCATTTTAAAGTCGTGGATAATCTGGATAATCCATTTCAAGGGTGTTGATAACCCGGATAATGTCTTTCCAAAGTGTGTATAACTTGGATAATATATTTTAAAGGCGTGGATAATCAGGATAATGTGGGGCGGATAACATGTAGAAAAAAAACAAATGTTTAAAGTTTCATGAGCTTTAACAAATTATTTTGAAAAATCCTTCTAAAATCCCCCAAAAAGTGGCACACCTCCCCAACACCACCGTTCATTTCAAATTTCGTTTTAAAAATTAAAATAAATTTAAAACTCCCCCAGTTGTCCAACATTTATTCACTTCATTGTTTATTGAGAACATAAAACACTTTCCACACTGGCCGCAGAGGAGCTCAGCCTGTCCTCAACGAAGAATATTAAATTTGGTGGCCGGAGTCTATGTTGGTAACAAAGAAAAACAACCGAGATATAACATCACCACCAAAAAAAAAACCAGAGCATGCTTAAGCTACATTGGAAAAACAAATGTGGTAACACTGAGGACCACCATAATTAGTGACTCAATTAAAACAGCCACAGCAGAGCAAAAACTCTCCCCATGTGTGAATGTGTGTGTGAGAGTGTCTCAGTATGTGTGTTCATGTGTTTGCGGTTTAAAAACATATTTTTTCGCATTTAATTTCCCTGGTTTGACAATGTTAAGAAGATTTGATGGAAATCGGAGAGCAGTGAAGGAGAGAGAGAGGGAAAGGGGTTGGGGGAAGTAAGCACACAAAACTTCAACCACAACAAATGAAAACAAAAGAAATATTTCTACATTCAAATGTTTATGTATGAGTGGATACTTTGGCATGTAATTGGGTTAATTTCCCATGTTGGCATCGCCGCCACCACCACCAGCAGCTCAGCACCACTACAAATGTACTTGGAAATGCATATTTGCTTGCCATCGTGCATTCAAGCATTCAAACAAAAGGCAAGCATGTTAAACACAAAACAAACTGAGGTCCTCAACAGATCTCACTCAACCAAATGCACACGGACACACACACACACACACACACATGTTAACATTGAGAAATGCCATGCTTCACTCCTTGATGATGGCATCCCCAGCGGATACTCGACTGGGTGTGCTTATTGCCATTAGTTCCGTGGTACTCAGCTGCATGCATGTGAGATTCTTATTGCATTGTATTTTGCATGGAGGAGAGGTGTGTGTGTGTGAGAGAGTGCACAAGAGGGGGCGGGATAATATTGTTAGCATAAAACAGTTATGTTTGGGGTTTTATTCTTATGTTCTCTGTGTTTTTTATGAACACACATCCTTTTCGCATATCTCCCAGGAATTTATTTAATATTTTTGTCAGGGCATTGTTTCCTCTTCTCTTCTCTTCTCTTTGGTTTGTTTGTTTTTGTTTCTCTTTCACGCTTTCGGTTTCAAGTTTTTTTTTTTTTATTATTGTTTTCACACCATTTTCCGGAATTCATTTGTTCTATTACTCTTGTCTCATTTCCCTCACTCACTCTCCCTCTCTCTTTCTCTTTGTCTCATTGCAGTGGCGTTCAGGCGTTAATGTACTCAAAAAGAATTCGGTGCGCTTGGCTGAAGTCTGGCTGGATGATTATGCAAAATATTATTATCAACGGATAGGCAATGACAAAGGTGATTATGGCGATGTCACGGCGAGAAAAGAATTACGGTAAGTTCCACTCATTTTTGTCATTGTTGTTGTCTTTGTTGTTTTTCTCTCCCTAAAGAGATTGTTGCGATTGTATCCATCCATTTTGCTATTATGAGACAGCAGAAAAAACAACGGAAAGTTTTTAAATTATAAGTTTTGTGCATTAAGAATGATTTGATTAAAAATGAAAATTTTGTTTTTCGAGAAGTTCATTTGTGAGATAAGAAGTGGCAATGAGGCCTTCTATGGAATTAGGGGTATAAAATATGTATGGTATGTGACTAAGATGGGAAATGGGGGTATGTTATTGAAAACACAAGTAGACTTTTAGGCGCTTTGATATGCGCCTTCAATAAAAAGTGAATTGTTTTAATTTTGTAGAACCTCCACGTTAGTATGGAGAGTATATTATGTTTCACATTCCGTGTGTAACTCATCGAAATATACATTTTAGACCCCACAAAGTATATGCAGGATGAGATCAAAATACTGCAACAAAGTCAAAAGCTATAATTTTTAATTTTTTATTTTTCAATTTTATTGGGTGAAAGCAAAAAATGTCGGAAATAGCATCAAATTTTAGTATAAGTTTAGATTTATTCGAATTGGTCACCTTTGGTACGAATTATGGCCTTCAAACGGCCAATGAAACCGTCACACGCTGCCCGAATGTTGCTCTGTGGTATTTTGGCCCATTCCCGGCGAAGCGCTTGCTTGAGGTGATCGACACTTTGGTATTTTTTAGTGCCAACCTTGATTTCCAAAATTCTCCAGACACAATAGTCCAACGGATTGGTATCCGCAGATTTTGGTGGCCATTGTTCGCTGGAAATGAAGCGAGGAACCTCATTTTGTAACCATTCTTGGGTGGCTCGTGCGATGGTGCTGAGTCCTGTTGGAAGGTCCACGGCCGGCGGCCAAAATGTTTCGGTGCCAAGGCGCTAATACACCCTCCAGAACATTTTCGCGATAATATCCGACATCTATTCTGAGGCGACGGTCGATTAATATGAGCGGAGAGCGACCATCGGCTGTTATGGCGGCCCACACCATCACCATGGCCGGCGCTTGAGTTCTGGTGGCCAACCGAAGATGCTCATTTTCAGCTGGCCTCTTTGGCAACTGAGCCCAATCATTTTGTTTGTTTACAAACTGCTGGACAACGAATGTTCTCTCACCGGAGAAAACCAAATTCAGCAATTCACCACTTTCGGCCAAGCGAAGCAACTCTTTAGCTCTTTTGATTCTATTTTCTGTCTATTGCGGTGTAAGTTTTTGCACTTTTTGGAATATCAATGGCTTTACCCCGAGCTCATTTTTTTGTTCAGCTCACGAGCCAATTTTTCGGCCACTGCGACGCGAGTTTCGATCAAGTCGCTTCTTTACTTTTCGAACCATCTATGCTGATGTTGCTGATGTTTTCTTCTGTCCACTTCCTTGACGTCGGGCTATGCTACCAGTATCAGTATCACGGTAACGAGCGATGATACAAGATTTATTCACATTTAAATGCTTGAGTGCTCTAAAATAACCACTTGTGGGTTTTGCAGCCAAATATAAAGAAATCACACTATCACGCTTGAATTCCATCACGAATAACTGTTTTTCTGGAAAATTCTCACCAAAATGCTTTTGTACGCTTGTAAACAATATAATGAGCTGTCACTGGAATAATTTCAACAGCTGTCGGACGAGTGGCTTAGAAATGACAGCAGCAGTTTTTTCATCTCACCTATTCTTGATCAGCAACGTCAGTCCGTCTATCTGTTTGTCCGTCCGTCTATGGAAATCACTCTAGCTTCCGAACGATGAAGTAGGTTGATAAAAATTTACTCAAATATATATTTTGTCTGCAGGACTTTTGGTATTGAAAATGGGCCATATACGTCCACGTTTTGGCATAGCCCCCATATAATGGTACCTCCCTATTTTCGGTATTTTGGTAATGTTAGCGACATTATTAACCGGAAATGTTTCAAATTTGGTATTTGAAGTTCGAAATAGATATTACATCCAATGACAGAAAATAGTCTGTGCAAGTCCACGCCTCTATATAGCCCCCATATAACGGAACCTACGATATTCGGTATTTTGATGATTTTACCGACATTTTTCACCGGAGATATTTCAAATTTATTGCTTAGAATTCCTAATGGCTACTACAGCCTCTGGCAAATATGCAGGGCCACGGCTTCGTATAGCGATTTTAGCGACATTATTCAAATTTAGTATTTGAAGTTCGTATTGGATATTGCAGCCTTTAGCCCTCATTTGACGGTATCTCCATCTATTCCGTATTTTGATATTTTTGTGGCATTATTCACAGGAATAATAACTCACGAAGGGTGTATTCGATTTGGTCCAAACTTGGTGCACCGTAATATTATTATCAAACTTAGATCGTGTTCGTAGATTGACAATGTCGCTCCACTAATTCTGGTACCTCCCCCACAAAAGCTCGATTTTTTCAGAAACATATTTTACTGCACTGAAAGAGAAAGGATAATCCGATCTTGCTCCAACTTTGCAAATTCAAATATTTGCATCGGTGCAAGGCTATGCACGAAAATGGACAATATCGATCAACTCCATCAAGTACCTCACCCACAAAGGGCCAAAATTTTGGATAATTAAACTCTTATCAAATGTGATGTAAGAGTCCGATTGTCTTAGAATTGCACACATCGGAATATTTTATTAACTCAAGGTCTGGCGCTAAAATGGGATAAATCGGTCCTCTCCTTCTGATACCTCCCCCACAAAAGGGTCAAAATTTTGAATATTCATTAAGCTCATAAAACGCGAAATTAAAGAGATTGGACCATTCCTTCTGGTACCTCCCCCACAAAGGGTCAAAGTTTTGAATAACCAAAACGATCATAAAATCTGAAATAAGCATCCGGCTCCTTTCATATTTGACACTTCCTATTATTTCTACTAACACAAGATCTATTGTGAAGATGGGTATATTGGTCCACTCCTTCTGGTATCTCCCCCTCAAAGGATCAACAGTCAATAGCGCTTATAAAACTCGAAATTAGCGTCCGCTTCTATTTAGGCTTGGCACATCTCAATATATTCACCAACACAAGATCTGTTATAAAGATGATAGAGATCGGACCATTTCTTCTGGTACCTCCCCCACAAGGGGTTCAAGAATTTGAAAAACGACACGCTCAAAGAAAGCGAAATGAGCGTCCCACACTCTTCAAATTTCACACATCCAAATATTTTTGCTAACGCAAGATCTGCTGTGAAGATAATATATCTGTCAACCCGTTCTGGTAGCTCACCCACAAAGGATCATAATTTTCAATACTTTTATCTGTCATAACTTGCGAAACAAGTCAGCGATTCTTTACAACTTGCTATATCTAAATATTCCCTCAGCCTGAAACCTGAGATTAATATGTAATTTATGATTTTGCATAAAATTGGATATAAATGTTCGATTTTCTTGTAATTTTGCCCATGCCAGTATTTTTATCTGTATTAGGTGAAGTTCGAAAATGAAATACTTCGGTCAACTATATCTGGTACTTCACGCACATTTTTACATTTCCTAAAAAATTTTATATTACTCATATGAAGTGGAGGAAGTAGTCGATATAGTCCAAAACTGCCCGTCGCTACTATTTATATCATATTTATTTAGGTCCTATACGAAATTGAGAATATTGGCCGATTCCTTCCTCCATAGAGGATCAACAATTTGAATAATCAGAACGGAAGTCAAAATATATTTAAATAAAAAAATTATTTTAAATTAATATAACATTTCAATTTCAAATGTTTTTCTTATGAAAATATAACCCTAAATTTTCTCTCGAACTTAGATTGCTTTTCTTTGAAATTTATTTTCAAACTGCATTGTTTGCATATTCTGTGGAATATGCATATGAAGTATCTCATAAATAACTTCATATAAATACTGTTGGACAAAAAGAAGAAAAAAATCCTGTGAAAACTAAATATGAAAGTCTACGTTCCGGCCAGGCCTCCACAAACTACTATAAATGTTGGAAATTCTAAAACACTAAAATAACAGAAAAGAAAACTATGGCAATTATAAAAATTTGTGTTATAAAATAAATATAAAGTCTAAAACATGCATACGAAGAGATTGTTCAGTGGAGGTACATTGGGGCATATATTGGGGTGTAATGAAGAAAATGTGTGAGACATTTTTTCAAAATTTTACAATTATAATCATATTTTTCATAAAATAGTACAAAAAGGCTAAGTTAGGTCACATACAGAGCTACTTTAGAATTTTTAGAGCATAATTTTAGGCGCTCTCAAAAATTTTTAATCTAATTTAAGGCCCAATTATGAATTATGTTAGAGTCATATGTAAGGTCACATATTATTTTCACATTTTATATTTTTATAGCATACTTCAAGGAGCTGCCTACAATTTTTATACCCAACACCACAAGGTGGTCAGGGTATTATGTCTTTGGGCAATTGTTTGTAGGAGGCAAAAGGAAACGAGATAGACCCATAGTTCCTTTTGATGATCTGCATAGAATCACTTTCTGAGTCGATTTATGCACGCCCATCTGTCCATGTATTTTTGTAAAGAATGTACTGGTTCCATTTATTGTCCGATCCATATGAAATTTTGCACAAATCATTTATTTGACCTAAGGAAGAACCCTATTGAAATTGGAGAAAATCGGTTAAAATTTAGATATAGCTCTCATATATAACTTCGTCCGATTTGCCTTTTATTGTCCATCAAATGTGTAATATAAGCCCAAACGGGATGACATTTGGCACTTACGACCAAATTGAGCCTTCAAACTAGCATGATAGAAATCGGTTGAGATATAGCTATAGCTCCCATATATATTGTTCATCAGATTTGTTATACAGGGTGGGATAAAAAAAACTGCAACCAACTTCAGAATTTTTTAAGCCACTCGTCCGACAGCTGTTAAAATTATTCCAGTGACAGCTCATTATATTGTTTACAAGCGTATAAAAGCATTTTGGTGAGAATTTTCCAGAAAAAAATTATTCGTGATGGAATTCAAGCGTGATAGTGTGATTTCTTTATATTTGGCTGGAAAACCACAAGTGGCTATCGTTAGAGCACTCCATCATTTAAATGTGAATAAATGTTTTGTTTCTCTAGCCATCGCTCGTTACCGTGATACGTAGCGTAGCTCGACGTCAAGGAAGTGGGCGGAAGAAAGCAGCAAAAATGGTTCGAAAAGTAAAAAAAGTGACTTGATCGAAACCCGCGTCGCAGTGGCCGAAACATTTCTCGTGAGCTGAACATATCGAAATATTCCATTCGGTAAATATTGAAAAATGAGCTCGGGGTAAGCCATTGATATTCCAAAAAGTGCAAGAACTTACACCGCGCAACAGAAAGAAAATAGACTCAAAAGAGCTAAAGCGTTGCTTCGCTTGGCCGAAAGTAGTGAACTGCCGAATTTGGTTTTCTTCGATGAGACAACATTCCTTGTCCAGCAGTTTGTAAACAAACAAAATGATCGTGTTTACTTGCCAAGGAGGTCAGCTGAAAATGTACACCTTCGGTTGGGCACCAGAACTCAAGCGCTGGCCATGGTGATGGTGTGGGCCGCCATAACAGCCGATGGTCGCCGTTGCATCAGAATAAATGCCGAATATTATCGCGAAAATATTCTGAAGAGTATATTAAAGCCTTTGGCACGCAAACATTTTGGCCGCAGACCTTCAGCATTCCAACAGGACTCAGCACCATCGCACTCAGCACGCGCCACACAAGAATGGTTACAAAATGAGGTTCCTCACTTCATTTCCAGCGCACAATGGCCACAAAAATCTCCGGATACCAAACCGTTGGACTATTGTGCCTGGAGTATTTGGAAAGCAAGGTTGGCACTAAAAAATACTAAAGTATCGATAACCTCAAGCAAGTGCTTCGCCGGGAATGGCCCAAAAAACCGCAGAGCAACATTTGGGCAGCGTGTGACGGTTTCTTTGGCCGTTTGAAGGCCATAATTCGTGCCAAAGGTGACAAATTCGAAAAAATCTAAATTTATCCTAAAAGTTGATGCTATTTCCGATATTTTTTTTTGTTTTCATTCAAAAAAATTTAAAAATTATGGCGTTTGACTTTGTTTCAGTTTCTTTTATCTCACCCTGTATTTGCCCACCTCAGCCGTTATATGCACTCTGTAACAACGATATTTCAGGAAATATATCAAATACAGCTCAGAAAAACCTTTCCCAAATTTTATCGAAATCGGTTAAAATTTTGATATAGCTCCCATATACATCTTCGTCCGATTTGCCTTACGACCAAATTGAGTGTAGGAACGTGCACGTCGAATTCGGTGAAAATCGGTTCAGATATACCTATAGCTCCCGTATATATTGTTCATCCGATTTGTTATTTTTGTCCTCGGCAGCCGTAATATGCACTCTGTAACAACAATATTTGGGGAAATATATCAAATGCAGCTCAGAAATGTCTTTGCTAAATTTTATCGGGATCGGTTGAGATTTCGACATAGCTCCCATATATATCTTCATCCGATTTACCTTTTATTGTGCTCCAAATAGGATGTAATATGGCAGTTACGACCGAATTGGGCCTAGAAGCTAGTGTGTCAAATTTGGTGAAAATCGGTTCAGATATAGCTATAGCTCCCGTATATATTGTGCATCCGATTTGTTATATTTACTCTCCACAGCCGTAAAATGCACTCCGTAACAACGATATTCGGGGAAATATATCAAATACAGCTCAGAAATATATTTTCCATATATTATCAAGATCGGTTCAGATTTGGTTGTATAGTAAACAAGGCTTTACATATGACTCCTAGATAATGTGGAATCGGACCTTTATTTATATATTTTATTTAAATTATAGCATTTCTTTCAGTTAAAAACTTATATAGAGCCCCTAAAAGTATGCTTCATAAATGCTTATTGCGAAGTTAAAATAACCACTTTACATTTTAGCCCTTATTTGAATAATCAAATGAATCGCTACATGTTCCCTTTCCATTACACCCCAATATCCCTCGTCTCCTTTGAACAACACAGCAATCTCCAAAACTAAAGCATACTTTTAGGTGTATACTAAAATGTATTGCATTTAATGTGAATGTGTGTGTCTACATTTTGCATTATCATCATAATTCTTATTGTAATTTCCGTCTCTCTCATATCTCTCTCCCTCTCTCTCCCTCTCTCTTCCAGCCAACGTTTGGGTTGCAAAAGTTTCAAATGGTATCTGGACAATGTCTATCCGGAACTCTTTATACCAGGTGAATCGGTAGCCTATGGCGAGGTAAGTATTATATGGTGTAAGAAACTAACCAAAAAAAAATTAAAAGCTAAAATTTGCTTTCTGCTAAACGTAAAAAAAACAACAAAAAAGCTAATACTAAAATGACCCCTCTCTCACTTAAAATGTCAAATTAACCCCCCTTCTGACCCCCCACTCAATGAAAAACTAACAAAAAATGAACAACAAACCAAACACTTCAACTTCAACTCTTTGGCCTGTGGGTCACAACATAAATTGGTTTGAACATTATCTACATTCCATACCCCCCTTTAGATGCTTAAAAAAATATTAAAACAACAACTAACCAGCATAGCTACCATCTCTCTCTTACCCCCTTCACAGATTCACAATTTGATAAAACCAAAAACCATTTTGAAAATTTTATATATATTAACTTTTATTTTATTATCCTCCCCCCAAAATCACAAAAAACAACAACAAAAATAAAAACAAATAACCTCACAGATGAGAAATCTAGGTGCTGGCGGTCGCACATGTTTGGATTCACCGGCACGCAAAAAGGATTTGAAGAAGCCCGTTGGCTTGTATCCCTGTCACAATCAAGGAGGAAATCAGGTTTGTTAACATCCAGCCAGAGCGCACACACACACACTTGCTCTCATCCTGGCAAATTGCCAAAAGTTTGACAATTCCAGTAACCAGTAACAAAACTGCGACCGCCACAAGCTCCGTTCAAAATCGACAAACAAAAAACAACAGCCAAAAACAAAAAATTGTCCAAAAACCAACCACAAAATCCACATTTTTTTAACAATAACTCCGAGCATTCTACTCTAAACAAATTCCACCACAAAAGCCAAAAATAAAAATAATAACAACAAAAAATCACAACAACAAACAACAATACGAATCTAATGGTTATGGGTTGCATATATGGTCTCTCGGTTCCACTGTCCCTGCCCTGCTCGTCCCCCCCTTTGCCAAAATTGTATTTGCCTAAACGCATGTTGATGCCTTTTTTGTTTAACCTTTTTTATTTTATTTTCTTTTTATCTCTCTTTCTCTTGTTAGAAAGTGGTATTAGACATGGACTTTTAAGCTGATTTGAAATTGAGAAGAAGTTAACAAATTTAAATATTTTTTACAGCATACCTTTAGGCGAAAGTTGCGTTAAGTAATGGCGTATATGTAACAAGTACAATTATGATCCAAAATACATCCAAAAAATACCATTCAAAGTTTTTCTCATCATAGTAGAGCTTTTAAGTTCCACATCTAAAGAAAAGCTTTAATTGATTTCTATGAGCTTTTAGAGATCCACTATCTATAGACAACTTTTAAAGGCATTCTGTCTGTATAAGACAAGTGCCTATAGAAGAGCTTTTAAAGATCTGCTAGTTATAGAAGAGCTCTTAAATGCCTTCTGTTCATAGAAGAATTTTTGAAGATATATATCAATAGCAGAGCTTTGAAGAATTTAAATCAACAGAAGAGCTTTTAATTGCATATTTTTCTTTTAAAGGTCTTATATTTATAGAAGAGCTTTTTAAGCTGTTTTAAAGCTTTCTACAGAAGACCTATAAATGGTCTACTATTTATACACGAGCCTATAGAAGAGCTTTTTAAGCTGTTTTAAAGCTTTCTATAGAAGACCTATAAATGGTCTGCTATTTATACACGAGCCTTGAAAGATTTTCTGGTTATAAGAGAGCTTTTTAAGCTCTAATATCTTTAGAATACATTTTTAACATCACCTATCCGCAGAAGAACTTTAAAACATATTATTTTAATAGAAGAGCTTTTAAAGGTGTTGTATCTATAAAAGAGCTTTTAAAGGTAATCTTTCTGTAGAAGAGCTTTTTAAGGTCTAATATTGTTAAAAGGCATTTTAAGGGCTAATATTTTTATTTTTTTATTTTGAAGAGCCCTAAAAGATTATATATTTATAGGAGAGCTTTTAAAGGTATTAGAACTACATAAGAGCTTTAAGTGTTCTACTATCTATATACGAGCTTTAAAAAGTCGTCTGTATACAGAACAGCTTTTTATTTCTATAGAAGAGCTTTTTGACATCTTCCAACTATTAAGCAATTATAAAGTTCAAATATCTATAGAAAGCTTTTGAAGCTCTTCAAATATTTGAATGAGGTAGTATATCTATAGAACAGCTTTTAAGGGTATTCTGTGCATAGAAAAGCTTTCCCATGTAATCTGTCCAAATAAAATCTTCCAAAGTTCTTCTATCTAAGAAAAAACGTTAAAGTCTTAGAACCATCTAAAGAAGAGCTTTCAGATTCACACTAGTTTTTTAAGAGGTTTTCTTTCTTTTTTAGAAAGCCCCAAGAAGCCTTCTGACCATTGAGCCTTCCATTGAGCTTCTGTCTATACAAAATTTCCGAAGTTTCTTCTACGTATAACAAAGCTTTCTCAAATCATGTATCCATTAAGAAGCTTTCAATATTTTTTAAAAGTATTATATCCCCGTAAGTGCTTTCTGAGGTTGTACCTCTGTACCTAAAAGAACTTGCAAGAGTCTGAAATGCAAGCTCTTCTTTGTACAGATGACCTGTAAAATTATTTCTAGGGATAGGAAAAACTACCTCTGAAAGCTCAATGTAGATAGAGGACCTTTGAATCACTGTTTAAATGTCTTGTATGAAGTCAAGCTTTTGAAAGTTCTTGCATGGACGGACGGGTCTTGAAAGCTCTGATATAAAATAGGTTTGTCCTTTTATAGGTGTTCTCATAAAATTTTCATTTGACAGCTGAGCTGTGGAAAGAAGGCATTTGAAGGCTCTTCTATGGACAGAATATGTTTGACAACTCTTCAGAACAGTAGATTTTAGTGAAATTTCAGCTATAACTAGAAAATATTTGGAAGCTCTTTTATGAACAATTGAAAGCTCACCTATGAAACGAAGACATTTGAAAATTCTTCTATGGATAAGAGAATTTTGAGAGCTCTCTACGAACCGAAGATTTGTGAAAGTTCTTCGTTGGATATAAGAGTTTTACAGACAAGTATTTTTATATGTCTTCTTTGAAAACTCATTTTTACAAGAAAATATTTGGAAGAATTTTATGGACATTTTAAAACTCAGTTATGCAAAAATGTCCTTTAAAAGCTCTTCTATGGACAAAAGATCTGTGAAAGCTCTTTTATTAAGGTAAAAGCTTCGCATGCTCTTCTATGGACAGAAGTAATTTCACAGGTCTTCTAAGCAAAGATTACATTTAAAAGCTCAGTATTGAAAAAATAACGTTTGGAAGCTCTTTAATGGACCGAGCTCTACAGAAAACTTTTCTTTTTCTCCCGTTTTTAGAAGACCACCAAAGATCATTTTTGAAAAAGGTTTCCAAATTATGCTATATAATATCTCTCCTGCGTCTTCCCGCTATGGGACTTTTAAAGATTTTTCATCAATAAAGGTCCTTTGAGACCAAAGAAACCCTCTTTTAAAGTTTTCTGTATGTGGACGATCTTTAGGATACTATCTGTGTTTAGAAGACTCCTTTAAAGTCCTTTGTCTACAAAATAAAAAAGCTCCTACGCAAACACTGTTACGTATACATTATGATGACAATTATACGCCCTTATACACCTGAATGCTGAATATTTGTAATAAAATCAATTAAAAACTGCCCTCCTGCCTAATACCACTTCTATTGTTTTATTATCCACTGAATTCTTCTAGCAAATGAAAATATGCATTATAACAACAACAACCAATTACAGATTGCCAATATCGAAACCGATATGTGTCTCGATTCAGCCGCCAAACCGGACGACATGCAAGGTGCCGTCGATCCTTACAAATGTCACGGTCTGGGTGGAAATCAGGTACTGTTTCATTGTTTTTTTTTTTTTTTAATTTATTGTTTCTATTAAATTTTTCGTTAATTCGGCATTGGAATATTTTGGATTTTGGGTTCTGTTGAAAAGCAAATACCACTTCACTTTTTTATTATTTTTTGCTTTATGCTTTTATTTTGGTGTTCGTTTTTTTCTTCTTCTTAGTTTTGATATTTTTTGGTTAAAGGTAACCTGATAACACCACACCAGCGCTTTTAAGGCAAATGAATAACAAAAATGTTTAGAAAATCTCACCAGTTATACGGCTTGGAATCAAGTATGAAAATATTAACAAACCTCTAATAAATCTTTGGCATCAAAAAAAAAAAAACTTCGCATTTTTAAAATTCATCTCTAACATTTTGTCATTTTTTTTTTTTTTTTTGTAAAATGACAAAAACATTTCATCTCCAACATTTTGTGATTTTTTTTGTAAAATGACAAAAACAAAAAAAACCTAATAACATTTCGCTCCCCATTTTTTCGGCTGAAGTTCATTTAAATTCATTTTCCTTTTTGGCCCCATAAATCATTGCATATCTTCTTTTTTTGGTGGTTCTTAACTTAAATACCATATTATAATAGCATACTTTTGGGGATTTGCTTAATCTAAATGCCAGTTTGTATTCATATTTTTTCAGGCAATGTCCTTAAGGTTATGCTTGTGACATTTATGTTATTTTTTTCGGACAAATGTTAAATAACCTGACTGGAACTGAAGATAAATGACATTTGGAAAATGCTATGAAAGGCGATTACAGCGCCGTGGGAAAATTCGAAATTGTCTCCATCAGATATGGAAACTTTTAGGCATTAGGTCGTATTAGTTATGACAACACTAATACGCAATACACGAATCATTAAAAAAGACAGTTCATTTGATGATATATGGAAGATATATAGAAAATATTTTAATTTTTAGGAACTATATTTTCTAATGGAACAGATTTCGTTAAAATTAAAGGAAACCCGCATTTTAGGATTTTCCTGCGAAATTTTATTTTAAAAAATTTTACAACAGTTTTGAAAATTTTACAACAATTAATCATTTTGGAAAGTTTCCTAGAACTCTATGTCGTCAATTTTTTAAAAATCGTTAAAAAAGTCCTGAGGAAACTTTCCAAAATATATATATAAATATATATTTTTTTTTCAATATTTTTGGAAGGCTTAAGAATGTCTATAAACAATCTTTGGACAGTCAACAAGAAGTCTTTGAAAAGGTGCTATGGAAAGCTATGGAGAAATTTACGCTTTAAGCCATTGATAAATTTAAGAAATCTTGGAAAACTGTTTTTGCACTGGTTACATGTGTCAAAAGAGGCTTTGGGATGACTTCAAAAAATCTTTAAAATTTCGTTCAAAAAGCTTTCAAAGGACTCTCTGAATAAATTTTTAAATTTGGGTCTTTGTGAACCCCTTAAAAAAGTTTGAAAAAAAAATTATTTCGAAGGCATTCAAAATTATTTAGAGATTTCTTTAGAAAATGCTTTTGTAGAGACTTAGAAAATTCGGATCTTCCGGAGGTCCTTTACACAAATCTGTGGACTTCTAAGAACAAATCTTTAAAAATACGCTATTAAGAGCCTTATATAAAAACGTTCAAAAACTCTATAGAAATTGGTTAGTCTTCTGGAAGAGTAGACAATTTTCTTTTAAATTATTTGGTTTAGATGCGAAGATTTCCAGAAAGCTTCGAGAACTTTGTGGGACCAATTTCTAGGAAAAATGTATTTAATTCAGATTTAAGAGGACTGTGAAAGGCCTTACAAATTTTTAAAGAAGGTTCTGCATAGACTTGCAATTATCCTTTAAAAAGTCATGAAAACCAGGAAATTTTATTTAAAAGAAAGTTTTGGAAATCCTTTAACATTTTCTTAAAAAACAGGATTTCAGATCTTTGAATTTTTTTTTAATTCTTTGCCCTTCAAAATTTAGGAAAATCGTGATGATTTCGAGAAGGTTGCTAAAAAATTTCAAAAAGGCCGTGAGATATTTCGAGAAGACATGAAAACTTTTTTGATATGACTTTGGAAGCTTGCAGAAGTTAGAACCTCTCCTTAAAAATTCACGGTTTTAGGTGAGATTTCGAGAAAGTTTCAAGAAATGTTTTGAAAAAAAAATAAAAAAATAAAAAAAATTCTTTAAAAAACCTGCACATAGGGTTTTGTGGATAGCTTAAGAAATTCTTTAAGGCAATGGGTCTAAGTGTCTTCGAAAAAATGCAAAAAAAATAACACTTTTGTGGGCTTTGAAAAAAAATTGAATATGAGGAAGATTTGTCCTTTGAAAAAGGGAAATCATTAAAAGGTTCTTTAAAGAAGCTTGAAAATGTTTTTGGAAACAGGTATGACAAGCGGTCGAAAATTCTTTGAAATATCTCAACTTTGGGGTCGAGTGAAACCTTCGATTTGCTGTTCCTGACATCTTTGGAAAGTCTTCCCAAAACTCTATAATAATCCTTTAAAATTCCTCGATAAGGAAACGTTAGAAGGTCTTCTTTAAAAACATCCGTTTAAAAATCAGCGATTTGGGGTCTTTGGGAAGTCTAAGGAGAAGCCTTTCAATAACCTTGAATTATCTTCAATTTAGGGTCTATTGAATGGCTTTTCAAGGCTTTAGAGTACCTTCAAGAAAACTTTAGAAAGGCTTTGAAAAGTTTTTTAAAAAATGCATTAAATGGTCAAAGGTTTAGGGATTCGAGTAAGTCATGAAAATATCTTTGAAAACTGCTTTGGAAAGTCCAAGGAAAAAATTTTAAAATTTTTTTCGAAAGTCCACGATTGTATGTCTTTTGAAACGCTTTTGAAAGGTTTGGATAAAAGGGCCTTTAAAAAGCCTATGAAAAACTCTTCTAAAATATTCTCTAAAAATCCACGGCTTCAGAAAGGTTTGTAATGTATTTGAAAATCGGTTTTGGGAATTTAAAGTTGCTTTAAAAAGTCTATGGAAAGCCTATGAAAGGTTCTATAAAAATCCTCCATTTTCGACCCTTAGCAAGGCTTAAGAGTGTCTCTGAAAACACCTTTAGAAAACCTGCAAAGAAAAGGTTTGAAATCTTCCGAAAAACCTTACTTCTGAAAAACCAGAAACTTTCGTAAAAAGGGTTTGGAAAAGTGGTTTTAAAGATACAAGATTTAGGGGTTAAAGAAAGGCTTTAAAGAACTTTGAAAAGGTCTTAAAAAAATCTGTAAAATCCTTGATGTAGGATATTTCCGAAATATTTTAAAGATTCGTAAAAAAAAAACTTAGAGAAGCCCATCATGCATTTTTTGGGTATTTTGGGGAAAATTTCGGAAAGCCTGTGAAAACTCATCAGGATATTCTAGAATTTCAGCCTTTGAAAAGTTTTAAAATTTTTGGGGGGTAAGAGTTAAAGGACTTAAAGACTTAAACATGTATCTATGCGGTTTTAAAAATCTTGAAATCGCTTCGACGTTAATAACACTGAGGAGAGGAAAAAAAATCGTTTCTCTTTATCAGAGAAAAGCCCTCTTTTCATTCCTCACTAAGGCATTTAAGCGTATAAGGAGTGCCAATAGTCATACGCCCCAAATAACTAATTATGAAACTTTGCACAAAACATTTGTTAAGGACAAGGACAAACCCTATTCGAAATGGTGAGAATCGGTTCGAATTTAGATATAGCTCCCATATATATCTTCTACAACACTTGAGCGGGGAAAATTGACTGAATTTTTTTTTATAAAAAAGTAATGTATTTCAGATATTAAAAAAAATCTGGTATTACAGCCCTTGAGAGCCTTTTCTTGTTAGAAAAAGTTTGGATTCCTTAATACCATGATTTTAAAATCAATATACGGGCTAATAGTGGCGTATACGTTTTGAAAATAGTCATACGCCCCCTAGTACTACTATTAATATTTGTATTGAGCCCTTTTCTCTAAGAAGTTCTTGCAATTAAATGATTCAACTTCTTCTTCTAAAATATTAAATATCCCCTACCCCAATCTTCGCCCAGCACAGTTTGCTCTACACATTTTCTACAACACTTGAGCGGGAAAATTGACTGAAATTATAGTAACTGTACAACAATATGCTTCACTACTACATGCACAGCAATTGGCACAGCAATACTAAATGTTGCTTATTGAGAATCCTTGAATTTACCTGCCATTCACTGCCTTTTGGATACAAGCCAATGCCATTTGCATTTGGCTAAAACGGACGATACAAAACGACAGAGCATTTTTCAACTTGAACCCTTCGCTGGATGGAAAATGACCTTTTCACAATTACTCTCTCTCTCCCTCTCTCTCGCATTTTCATTCACCTCCATTTTGAACGTTTCATTTTGACATTTACTAATTAGCTTACGCTATGAATTTATTTGCCATCGTTTATAAGGGTATTTTAGGTGATGATGCTGCAGTGTCTTATTGGGAGGGCGGGTGATTTTAGCCAACTATTGATGCTGGTTAATGAGCTGTGAAAAACGAAGCTTCTGGAGAGTGAGAATAATTAAACTGACTTTTTGGAATTGATTGTTAATGAGGCTACTTCATCAATTCTACAAATCATCTGCATAATTTGTCCAGCGTTGCAAATTTTTCATTTGCCCACCAAACGCCTTTGGCCACTAATAACTCAAAAAATCACGCTCGTAGCTTTTTGGCTTTACCCACACATTTTTTTGGTTTGGTTTTTGTGATGACTACTCTTTTTTGGCAATACAATATCATTGCTATTCTATTATATATTTTTAAACGGAGTTTGTGGCTATCTACATGCATATATTCACACATACATATTTATATTTAAATTATTATTATTATTGTATTTGCAAATATTTACCATTTATTTATAAGTATTTTATTATAAAATTACTGTTAAATTATGATTATGACCAGCAGCAAATGTTTATGGTGCACCAGTAGTTCAATATTTACAATTGCCAATTAAAATGGAAATCTATGGCGTATAAATATAACTATTATTGATAATTTCATTGAAAACCATTACAAAAACAACAATAATAACAACAACAACAACAAAAATGTCGATTATATTTTATTTTAAGAGCAATTCATTTAATGAGATTGAGGATTAAATTCAAAATTTTTGCAATAACTAAGTCAATATCCAGGGTGGCGTATGCGTTGTGGCAATAATCATACGCTCTAAAGGAACTATTTAAAAAATTTTATAATTTTAAATAATTATTTAATAACTATTAATTTTAAATAATTTTTCTTAAATGGTTTTATGTAAAATTTTGAATTTTTTAAAAAAAATGTTTTTTTTTTTAATTTGGGAGTCTCTTAGAGCGTATGATTATTGCCACAACGTATACGCCACCCTGGATATTGCCTTAGTTTTAGGGTCTATTTTATTTAATTTTTTAACAACGGGAAAAGTTCAGCAATTTATAAAAATAGAGCTAAGACAGAAAGACACGTGCTTCGGCGTACTGAAAATTATATCGCAATGTAGCCTGAATAGAGGGGGCAAGTTTGACCCTCTTCCACTCCTTTGGCAATTTTCGGATTAAGATATCTCGAAATCCGTAAATTTTAGGTATATAGAGTCTTTGGCAATACTGCAGATGACTATACGGGGAATATATTGATAGAACATTTAAACACTCAAGCGAATAAAATGGATATTTTTGGTCCTTTTTATTTTAAAAGCAATTTATTTAATGAGATTGAGGATTAAATTCAATATTCTCCAGTAACTAAGTCAATATCCAGGATGGCGTATACGTTGTGACAATAATCATACACCCCAAAAGAACTCCTTCAAAATTTTTATAATTTTAAATAATTATTAATTTTAAATAATTTTATTAAAATGATTGAATGGTTTTAAATAAAATTGTTGAAGGAGTCCATTAGGACGTATGATTATTGTCACATCGTATACGCCACGTTGGATATTGCTTCAGTTTCTAACTTTTAATTTTTTACCACCGGGAAAATCAAGCATTTTATGAAAAAAGAGCTAAGACAGACAGACACGTGTATTGGCGTTCTGAAAATTTACTAAGTCAATATCCAGGTTGACGTATACGTTATGACAATAGTCATACGCCCCTAAGGAACTCCTTTCAAAATTTTATAATTTAAAAAAAAAATATTAATTAATTATTAATTTTAAATGGTTGAATGGCTATAAGTCAAATTTTTGAAGGAGACCCTTGGGACGTATGATTGTTGTCACAACGTATACGCCTCCAGTTCAGTTTTTATACCCTCCACCATACATAGTATGAAGGGTATATTAAGTTCGTCATTCCGTTTGTAAGTCATCGAAATAATCATTTTAGACCCAACAAAGTATATATATTCTTGATCAGCGTAAAATTATAAGACGATTAAGCTCTGCCCGTCCGTACATCTGTCCGTCTGTTGTAATCACGCTACAGGCTAAATGAATTAAGATAGAAAGCTAAAAATTTGCCCAGATCTCTCTTTTGTCTGCAGGTAGATCAAGTTCGAAGATGGGCTATATCAGTCCACGATATCGTATAGCCCCCATATAACGGTACCCCCGATATTCGGTATTTTGATGATTTTAGCCACATTTTCTAATGGAATGGTCTGAAAATCCGCACAACGAGTTCCTTGTGAGCACTTTATTCATTGAAAGAGAATTATCTATATAGGTCCATGATATCGTATATCCCCCATCTTCGGCAAACTTCAAATACCAAATTTAAAACAATTCCGTTGAGTAATGTCTCTAAAATCATCAAAATACCGAATATCGGGAGGTACCGTAATACGGGGGCTATACGAAGACGTGGACCAGCACAGACAATTTTCTGTCATATGCTGTAATATCCGTTACGAACCTCAAATACCAAATTTGAAACATTTCCGGTGAATAATGTCGCGAAAATCATGAAAATACCGAATATCGGGAGGTATCATTATATGGGGGCTATACCAAAACGTGAACCTACATGGCCCATTTTCATTATCAAAAGTCCTGCTGACATAATATACATTTGAATAAAATTTTATCAACCTACTTCATTTCGTTTGGAAGGTAGAGGACAAAATACCCCTTTGTTAACGCGTTTGAGGGTTAAAATTTTCGACCAAAATTTTCCTTGTGTTTTTATCTGTTGCCGAAGACACTATATACCTAAAATGCAGGTAGTCCGAGGAGTCTTAATTCGATAATTTCAGATATATAGAAGGGGGGTGATATACTAACCCCCTCATATCAATTTTCAAAAAAAAAAACAAAGTTGCAGACTCATAAGAGAGGCTTGAAAAAATCCTCAAAAATTCTCTTTTTAGTTGATATACCTCAAATTCGCGGATTCCATGGAATCTCATTGCGAAAATTTCCAAAAATGTGGAAGAGGAAGGAATTTTCTCCCGTTGGAAACTTTCAAAACGTCGATCCACGTGTAGTACTTTTTTAAGCTCTACTTTCACAACCTGCTGAATTTTCCCCGAAATGACTGTTTTCTGTTGCCGAATGTTGCCAAGAGGAAGGCACTCTCCCCTGTTGTAAACTTTATTATTATTATTATATTATTATTATTATTATTATTATTATTATTATTATTATTATTATTATTATTATTATTATTATTATTATTATTATTATTATTATTATTATTATTATTATTATTATTATTATTATTATTATTATTATTATTATTATTATTATTATTATTATTATTATTATTATTATTATTATTATTATTATTATTATTATTATTATTATATTATTATTATTATTATTATTATTATTATTATTATTATTATATTATTATTATTATTATATTATTATTATTATTATTATTATTATTATTATTATATTATTATTATTATTATTATTATTATATTATTATTATTATTATTATTATTATTATTATTATTATATTATTATTATTATTATATTATTATTATTATTATTATTATATTATTATTATTATTATTATTATTATTATTATTATTATTATTATTATTATTATTATTATTATTATTATTATTATTATTATTATTATTATTATTATTATTATTATTATTATTATTATTATTATTATTATTATTATTATTATTATTATTATTATTATTATTATATTATTATTATTATTATTATTATTATTATTATTATTATTATTATTATTATTATTATTATTATTATTATTATTATTATTATTATTATTATTATTATTATTATTATTAGTATTATTATTATTATTATTATTATTATTATTATTATTATTATTATTATTATTATATTATTATTATTATTATTATTATTATTATTATTATTATATTATTATTATTATTATTATTATTATTATTATTATTATTATTATTATTATTATTATTATTATTATTATTTCCTTTTTATTTTAAGAATTTCCCATTTTAATTTTATATCCCACCTTGACTCCCTCTGGAGTCACGTCTTGATGAAATTTTTCTTCGCAAGATGCGAGATGCAATAAAAAGCAACTATTATTTTTGGCGTAATTGAATTTACTTTGCACCCTGAAACATTTGCTGTTGCTGGAATAATATTTTTCCTGAAAGAGAAAAAAAGATGGAAAAAATTAAATTGCATTCTCCACACATACACACACTTCCACATACCTACAACTCACGCACACGAACACCATGACGTTTTTATTAATAAAATTCTTTTTCATATTTTATTTTATATTTCTATTGCATTTTCTGAACCACTTAAAATGTGTGCAACAAAATGCTGTTACTGCCATCCAAAACGACGACGAAAACAACAACAACGATAACAATAATGACATCGTTCTACGTGTGCATATGTCTGGCTGTATGTGTGTGTCCCGGCCTAACATATGGCACATCCGCCGTTGCAATGCTGCATTCCTGGTTTTAAAATATTACACTTGCCGACATCATGATCATCATCATCATCAACGCTGCCGTGCTGATGACAATATCTTCTATCACGGGCCATGACAACCTAAACCATTCATAACGCATGACCTCAACGTACCATCGTACCCGACATCCACCCTTTGTCGACGTTCCCAAAACCTCTTCATGTGGTTAACCATTCTCGATATGCATGACTGAATTTTGAATTTTGGCTGTTCGCGCCACCCTTCAGTACTGGATGCTCAGCAAGGCGGGTGAAATTCGCCGTGATGAAGCCTGTCTTGATTATGCGGGACATGATGTTATACTGTATCCTTGCCACGGCTCCAAAGGAAATCAGGTAAGGATGAAATATTTTTGTATCTTTTTTTGTTTTTTTTGTCACGCGTTTAAGTATTACTTTACAAGCGCCCGAAGGTAGTAAATGAGCTGTTTGTGCGGGTGTTTTATGTCGCTTTACGTTCACTTCTCCCTACCGGACGTTGCCATATTATTAAGAAGACAAGACATTTCATTATAATGATGATGCTGCTGATGAAGATGAGGGTGGTTGTGATTTCTTGGCTGTCACATTAACCGCCACATTGTTACAAACCTTGAGAATGTTGGCTATTTATTGCCGGGTGCAATAAGATGACGAGGGGGTAGATAATAATTAAGAGAAAGGGAGATAAAAAAGCAGCAACTGGCGTATACATTACAATAAGACTCATACGCCACAGGGGAAATGAAAAAATAGGCCGAACTTTTTCCTATAGAAAAATTTGCCCCTCAGGTGAACTGAGGTCGCCGACATTTGATTCTATAGAAAAACCTCAGCTGCACTGAGGTTTCGCGAATATTTTTCTATAGAAAAAAACTTGGCCCTCAGCTGCACTGAGGTCTTGCGAATTTTTTTCTATAGAAAAAAACTTGGCCCTCAGCTGCACTGAGGTCTTGCGAATTTTTTTCTATAGAAAAAAACTTGGCCCTCAGCTGCACTGAGGTCTTGCGAATTTTTTTCTATAGAAAAAAACTTGGCCCTCAGCTGCACTGAGGTCTTGCGAATTTTTTTTCTATAGAAAAAAACTTGGCCCTCAGCTGCACTGAGGTCTTGCGAATTTTTTTCTATAGAAAAAAACTTGGCCCTCAGCTGCACTGAGGTCTTGCGAACTTAGAAAAAAAACTTGGCCCTCAGCTACACTGAGATCTTGCGAATTTTTTTCTATAGAAAAAAAACTTGGCCCTCAGCTACACTGAGGTCTTGCGAATTTTTTTCTATAGAAAAAAACTTGGCCCTCAGCTGCACTGAGGTCTTGCGAATTTTTTTCTATAGAAAAAAACTTGGCCCTCAGCTGCACTGAGGTCTTGCGAATTTTTTTCTATAGAAAAAAACTTGGCCCTCAGCTGCACTGAGGTCTTGCGAATTTTTTTCTATAGAAAAAAACTTGGCCCTCAGCTGCACTGAGGTCTGGCGATTTTTTTTCTATAGAAAAAACTTGGTCCTCAGCTGCACTGAGGTCTGGCGAATTTTTTTCTATAGAAAAAACTTGGTCCTCAGCTGCACTGAGGTCTGGCGAATTTTTTTCTATAGAAAAAACTTGGTCCTCAGCTGCACTGAGGTCTGGCGAATTTTTTTCTATAGAAAAAAACTAGCGCCTCAGCTGCACTGAGGTCTGGCGAATTTTTTTCTATAGAAAAAAACTAGCCCCTCAGCTGCACTGAGGTCTGGCGAATTTTTTTCTATAGAAAAAAACTAGCCCCTCAGCTGCACTGAGGTCTGGCGAATTTTTTTCTATAGAAAAAAACTAGCCCCTCAGCTGCACCGGGGTCTCGCGAATTTTTTTCTATAGCAAAAAACTTGGCCCTCAGCTGCACTGAGGTCTCGCGAATTGTTTTCTATAGCAAAAAACTTGGCCCTCAGCTGCACTGAGGTCTCGCGAATTTTTTTCTATACAAAAAACTGGCCCCGCAGCTGCACTGAGGTCTTGCGAATTTTTTTCTATAGAAAAAAACTTGGCCCCGCAGCTGCACTGAGGCCTTGCGAATTTTTTTCTATAGAAAAAAACTTGGCTCTCAGCTGCACTGGGGTCTCGCGAATTTTTTTCTATAGAAAAAAACTTGGCCCTCAGCTGCACTGAGGTCTTGCGAATTTTTTTCTATAGCAAAAAACTTGGACCTCAGCTGCACTGAGGTCTTGCGAATTTTTTTCTATAGCAAAAAACTTGGCCCTCAGCTGCACTGAGGTCTTGCGAATTTTTTTCTATAGCAAAAAACTTGGCCCTCAGCTGCACTGAGGTCTGGCGAATTTTTTTCTATAGAAAAAACTTGGCCCTCAGCTGCACTGAGGTCTGGCGAATTTTTTTCTATAGAAAAAACTTGGCCCTCAGCTGCACTGAGGTCTGGCGAATTTTTTTCTATAGAAAAAACTTGGCCCTCAGCTGCACTGAGGTCTCCCGAATTTTTTTCTATAGAAAAAAACTTGGCACTGCACTGGGGTCTTGCGAATTTTTTTCTATAGAAAAAAACTTGGCCCTCAGCTGCACTGAGGTCTTGCGAATTTTTTTCTATAGAAATAACTAGACCCTCAGCTGCACTGAGGTCTTGCGAATTTTTTTCTATAGAAAAAACTTGGCCCTCAGCTGCACTGAGGTCTTGCGAATTTTTTTCTATAGAAAAAACTTGGCCCTCAGCTGCACTGAGGTCTTGCGAATTTTTTTCTATAGAAAAAACTTGGCCCTCAGCTGCACTGAGGTCTTGCGAATTTTTTTCTATAGAAAAACTTTGGCCCTCAGCTGCACTGAGGTCTTGCGAATTTTTTTCTATAAAAAAAACTTGGCCCCCAGCTGCACTGAGGTCTTGCGAATTTTTTTCTATAGAAAAAGACTTGGCCCTCAGCTGCACTTAAGCGTATACTAAATATTTGTAGTTATGCGCCCCTACGTTCTCAAGTAAAACTATTGTCTTTTATTTCCGTTTCCTTTGTTAAGAACATCCATTAACCATTTTCGTTGCCAGCTTCCTCTAATATTTCTCGGGAAAATACATTTCAACCTCTTAATGCTTTCTCCCTATTTTCCCCCTCCCTCGATCCCTTCTTCGCCCCAACCTTGGACAAATTTCCCATAACATCCGCCACTTACTTTAAGTCCCTTATTGTTCTTTTAATGGCAACCAAATCCACAGTAATATTCAACCAAAGTATCTTTCTGGTTTGCGTTTTGTTGCTGGTGTTCTTTATTTGTATTTCTTTTTTTGCTCCTTAAAAAGCCTTTCAATTGTTTTCTCATATTTCTACTTCGCTCCGCCATGGCACCGACAAACCAACTGACATATTACAACAAATAAACATATACATTCATTTTATATTGCACATGACAAAACAATGCCCGGCTCCATGCCATGCCATAAGAGGTAGATAAACAATGGAAAAAGGAGAATGTGCTACAATGAAATGAAGAGGGAGGAGTGAAAGGGAAACTGGGGGAAAACGGAAGTAAGTCTTTGAACAACATTAATTATTAAGGCAATGGAGAACGAAGGATGAAGAAAAAAAGGGAAAAAGAAAACATTGTGTATTTTAAATATCCTTGCATTGCCCCGCATCGTATCAAATGACAAATTAAAATTGCTGTCCTGGTCCACATTGCAAAAGAGAAACACAACAACAGCAACGACAAACATCACAATAATTACCCACCTCAGCAAACCACAAGCCCAGAACATATCCTTCATGTTCTGGTTTTCCTTTCTGGGTATCCTCCACTTGATTCTATGTAGCAGCTATATTTGTGGTTTCCTTTCGTTGGCTTTTTTCTCTCTCTCGGCCAGGACAATAGTTGTATTCCAGGTGGAAGAATACTTTGATGTGTTGTGTGAGCAATATTAGGGTGGAGAGGAAAAATTAAAAAAAAATGAAAATATAGGTAATTTTTGGGAGATATTTTCGTCAGACTATGAAGTCTTAGAGGATTTATCCGTTTAAACACAAACTTGCCCAACCTTATCTAAACATATTTTAAAACTCCTCCTATAAATATTCCAAGAAAAAAAATCAAAGGAAATCTTTAATCTTTAGTTTAAAAACTTATACGTATACGTTGTGGCATTAATTATACGCCCAGATCTCCCCCATCAATATGGGCAAACAGGCCGTGTACTTTATGGTGGTGCTCATACGCCCACCTGAAGTTCAGAGAATAGAATAGTTGACGGGCATTTGAGTTGTGATATAAAGTTCCAGTTTAAATTCGAAAAGAATATTAGAATCAAAATTTTTCAAGGATCAACAGAAACGTGCATTTTTTAGAGAATATTTTTTCAAGGACCAACAGAAACGTGCATTTTTTAAGGATATTTTTGCAAGGACCAACAGAATCGAAGATGTTTTAGAAAATATGTTTTCAAGGACCAACAGAAACGAGGATTTTTAAACATATATTTTTTCAAGGAGCAACAGGAGCATTGATTTTTTTTAAATATTTTTTCAAGAACCAGCAGAAACAAGGATTTCCTAGAGAATATCTTTTCAAGGACCAACTGAAACGTGGTTTTTTTAGAGAATATTTTTTCAAGGACCAACAGAAACGGGAAATTTTTAAAGAATATTTTTCCAAGGACCCACAGAAACGTGATGTTTTAGAGAATATTTTTTTAAAGTACCGATTTAAACGTGGATTTTGTAGAAGATATTTTTTCAAGGACCAACAGAAAAGTGGATTTTTTAAAGGATATTTTTTCAAGGACCAACAGAAACGAGGATTTTTTAAAGGATGTTTTTTCAAGGACCAACAGAAACGAGGATTTTTTAAAGGATATTTTTTCAAGAACGTGGGTTTTTAAATTTTTTAAGGACTAATAGAAACGTGGATTTTTTAAAGAATATTTTTCAAGGACCAACAGAAACGTCGATTTTTTAAAGGATATTATTTCAAGAACCAACAGTAACGTTGATTTTTTAAAGGATACTTTTCAAGGACCAACAGAAACGTGGATGTTTTAGAGAATATTTTTTCAAGGACTAACAGAAACTAGGATTTTTTAGATAATATTTTTACAGGGACCTACAGAAACGAGGATTTTTTAGAGAATATTTTTTCAAGGACCAACAGAAACGAGGATTTCTTAAAGGATATTTTTTCACGGACCAACAGAAACTTCGATTTTTTAAAGAATATTTTTTCAAAGGCCAACAGAAACGGGGAGTTTTTAAAGGATATTTTTCAAAGACAAGCCGAAATGGGGATCTTTAAAGGATATTTTTTTCAAGAACCAGCAGAAACGTGGACTTCTTAGATAATATTTTTTTAAGAACCAACAGGAATGAGAATTTTTTAGAGAATATTTTTTCAAGGACCAACA